TTGGGTTTTCCTTTACAGAAGAGCTGAGAAATGACAACAAGAGAGAGTCTGCTTTCAAGAACAAATAATGTATGATTAGTTAACATGATGAAAAAAGAGGGATTTGCACGTATTTTGAAAGATGAAAGTGCTGTAATACCACAAAAAGAAATGATCTTTCCGAAGAAGTTGCAAATGAATGCTAAAGCACATTGTTTATGGGAGTTTTAATCACTGCACATATTAGAAAATAATTACTTATTTCCAACAACTCAAATTGAGTGTGATTTGTGATTTGATTTGCTGTTCATTTTTATATTGAAAACCTGTTTCTTTAATAGGTTCATTTATCATTCTTCCTTCTACAGAAAAAGCTACTATACCAAAAAATACTCGTTTCATAGCAATAGCTATAGTCCTTACAGTTAATCGTTACTATAGTCCATCCACAATATGTAGCGTGACAATTAAATATGGTGCTTTCATAAATTCTCCTTAGCTCACATACAGACAAGAAAACCCTTGAAAAAAATGCAACTTTATGGTATTTCTTCTAAACTGCAGCTACTTTGACATTGCAAAACAGAATTTCTGAGGCCATGACTCTAGTATAGGTCTTCTAAATTTTGTCCTACCAGAATTTAAATTTTCAAACTACTTCAAAACAATATTCCCTAGTCATCTAAGCATAATTATGTTGTGTCAATAAAGAACCAATAGCCACAATTAGGAAGTTCATGTGATTTACAATTAAAAAAAAATCACAGAATGTCTGTGAAGTTTTCTATCTTGAGCCAGTCTTGAATGTGGCTGTACACTGAGACACTTGTACTGAATTGTTTGTCAATAAATTGGAGTGTTACTTCAAAAGATAGAATTAGTAGGAATAGCATTAATGGGGAACAACTACTTCAGAATAACGAATTTCTCTCTCTAAATGTACTCAACATGAAGATTTCGTCCTTCTTGAAGTGAAACAAATGGCATAACAAGATCTGTCTTTTATCTGGACTCCTAAAATGGGATATTACTACTATCTGTGGACTATGACTTGGGTTTTCCTTTTGGGGAAGAAAGCGAAGCCCATTATTGAATATCATTGCTATATGTGCATTGGAGCAAAATAAAAATCTTCTTCAAGTCCATCTCTCCATTCCTAACTCAGTGGATAGTTGGATCTAACTTAGTACTTACATGCTGACACAAATCCTGCTTCTGACACTTAATTTTTGCAGACGGGTAACAATATACAGCTTAACTTCAGCAAAATAAATATCTACTTGTAGCCCTTCTAACAAGAAAAAACATTTTTTCTGTTACAATTAATCTTTGATCAAACATTTCTACCTGTTTTACCCAGATAGGTATTAAAATCATACTTTTTCCTCTTTTTCTAATTCTAAGCTGCATTCAAGCTATACAAGTATAGTTTACCCTTCATATTTCACTCAGCTTCTCTTTAAGTAGTTTAAATTTTGGCTTTTTCCCCCCATAAAATTACATTATAATGACATTTAATTCAATAAAACTGACTTTTCCTTTTTATGGTGATTTAACAAAATGCAGCCCTTTTATAGCAAGCACTTTAATGTCTCATTTACCCATATCCTCTCAGGAGTTTGTCTTAGCAATGTTAGATGTTATTTAACAGAGTTGATCCATCACAGGGCAACAGAAGAATTGGCACAAATAACTGAGTTGGCACTGGTGCTGCTCCAGTGCTGAGTTGATCATAGTAGAATATGACAGGGATGGCATGAGGGTACCTCTCCAGAAAAGTTTTTCACCATGCTGCCTTTAGAGAAAGAATTCATTTATAGAGCCTAAGCAGATGAATGCAAAAAAATGTGCAGTACCTCTCCTCTTGTTCTTCCAGCCTTCCCACCTCAAAAAAAAAAAAAAAAAAAAAAAGATGGGGTTTTTTGTAAGTCTTATCAGCTCTTTCAGCTTGTTCTGCATCCCACTTTCTGACTATGTAAGAGCAGAAGCAGCTTAAACACAGAGAGAAATATGGAAGCTTGTCAATGCAGTTTTCCAGCATTTCTGAGTCCTGTATTTCTCATTTACAATAAGGGCTACACTGTTTCTTCTACGGCTTCCAGTATCTTCAAAGAGAGACACGATCACCTTCTTGCAACTAGCAGTCTGAGTCTTTTTCCCTTCCTTTACAACAGGACCTTACAGAAAAAGGCATTAGGGTCTTTTTCCTAGTTTATGTTCCACCATTGTGTGCCCAGGTGGCCAAGAAGGCCAATGGCATCCTGGCTTGTGTCAGGAATAGTGTGGCCAGCAGGAGTAGGGAGGTGATCGTGCCCCTGTAGTCAGCACTAGTGAGGCAGCATCTTAAATACTATGTTCAGTTTTGGGCCCCTCACTACAAGGACACGGAGGTGCTGGAGCATGTCCAGAGAAGGGCAACAAAGCTGGTGAGGGGTCTAGAGAACAAGTCTTAGGAGGAGCAGCTGAGGGAACAGGGATTATTTAGTCTAGAGAAGAGGAGGCTGAGGTGAGACCTTATCACTCTCTACAGCTACCTGAAAGGAGGTTGTAGCAAAGTGGGTATTGGTCTCTTCTCCCAACTAAATAGCAATAGGGTGAGAGGAAATGTCCTCAAGTTGCGTCAGGGGAGGTTTAGATCAGATATTAGGAAAAATTCCTTTACTGGAAGTTGTGAAGCATTGAAACAGGTTGCCCAGGGAAGCAGTGGAGTCGCAGTCCCTGGAGGTGTTCAAAAAACATGTAGATATGGCACTTCAGGACATGGTTTAGTAGGCATGGTGGTGCTGGATTGACAATTGGACTTGATGACCTTAGAGGTCTTTTCTAACTTTAACAACTCTATGTTTCCTTTTCCACCTCACATCAGTCTTTGAAGTGGCTAAAGGAAGAATGTGACACACCCTCCCCACCCTCAAATCTTCTGTGAAATGTTATTAATATTTCACATAAAAAAAACCCACATCCCAAAATGACATACCAACTGCTGTACAGGCAACACTGAACATTAGTTTCTTACTTGACACCAAATACAAGTCACAGAAAATACTGATTAAATCTTTATTAATAAAATATCTTAGTATAAAAATAGAATAGTTTATTCTGTACACTTAGAAAATGGACAAAGACAAAACAATTCAGCAGCAGTAATGTATTTAACAAGCCAATTCAAAGATTCCTGAAACTATGTTTTCAGAATTGTGCTCTTTCCTGTTATGTGCCGTGCATTTCTTGTCTCTACCAAAACTGTAAGCTTCCTGAAGCAATCACTTCATACACTTCGGAGTCCTATGCATAACCATGACAACTATTAACCTATAATGAAAAATGTTGGCTGTATTAATGCTTGCTATTATTAGTTCATCCAGTGATGGACAAAGGTCAGGTAGGTTTAGGGACAGCACAGCACATCAAGAAGTTGCATAGATAAACTTATAGAAATGATGTCATACAACTAAACACTAGTTATTTTCTACAACCTCTCATGCATTTCAGCCATACCCAGTAGAATAAACAATCTGGTGTACTGCTTTGCAATGCTGAAGACCAAATGGAGCTATGTTACATTATCTTTCAAGAGCATGAACCATAACAAAGGTAGACTTTGTTAATAACATTAATGCAATTACTTTGAGTTGAACACTTTGTCAGCTCTAGCACATAGTAACTAAGCTGACAGCAGTGAATATTGATAGGGTTATTCACTTGAGAAAAAGTAGCTCTTTAAGCTACAGCAAAGCAGATGAGAATAACCTAAAAGTAAAACAGAGCTAAGAGTATCAATTCTGTTCAAGATTGCTCTTCAGCCTGGAAGACGTCAATGTCCGCTAGAATTACTGTTTCTTTGTCTCTCTCTTCTATTCTGTCCTCAAACATCAACATGTGTAGATATGAATGAAAGTTGTACCTGGCTATTTCAGGCTAGGATCTACACAACCTGCTTGAACAAAGAGACCAAACTGATTACTGTTCCTTTGTATAACTGGGCTTTCTAAAAGCAAAGCTATTAACAAGCACTCATGTAAACTTACTCCCTGTAACTGGTACACAAATACTTGATATAAAACATGGACCATAGAGCAGTCCTACTCTTTGACTACATATCTGAACCTTGTTTATATGAGTGTGGCTACCTATAGAGCTGATATTTTAACAGGTAAAACTTAACAGTAGCACCTATTGCTAAGTCATTCAATACACATGCTTCTCCTAAACCTACAATATCTTACTTATACGGTCATTTTTCTCTAACTACCTAAGGAAGTCATCAGGATATTTAATCCAGGTAACTTCCATTAAAGACACATCTCAAGTTATAGCAACTCTGCAGTGAACAACGTAGGCCATTAAAGACATCTCAAGTTATAGCAGCTCTGTAGTGAACAACATAGGCCATGGACATTGTCCATTAAACAATATCATTTAAGCTACTGACAGATATTTTGAACATACACTTTTCCACTCTCCTAAAGGTTTTGTTTTCGTCTTGCAGCTGAACCCAGACATTAGGAAGATCCCAAGACTCTTGGAAAAACAAGTCTGTACATAGCATCTCAGTCAGTAATGTCAGCATACTGTCCTCCTCAACTGTTGGCACTGCAGAAATATATATAAAAAAGATTGTAAGTAGAATTATCATTATATCTTTCCCTCAAAAATATTTATCTGCCAAAGTATTTTTGAATGCATTCATATCAGCTTTTTAACATAAAGTAAAATAGGTAAACTGCATAAATGTGTGTGCAAATGCTATAGGTAGAGGATTAAGTAAACATCACTACAAATGTAGAACAGTAATAGTCACTAGCACCTGCTTAATGGGAAGTAACATACAAGTTCATTTGTTGAAATGAAAACATGGGAAGCTTCTATAGCCATAGACTTGCAGTATCTCTTCTTTAAGTCACCAAAATAGCATTGCACCCCCCAGATTGTTTTAGCTGATCATAACTTGTTTAGTAACACTTTTAACACAAGGAAAAATGGAATGAGTAAGTTCTCATCACTGCAAGAACAGGACTCACCTGCTTGCTGATAGTCTTTTTCTGCCAACAGTTGGCGGAGATGGTTCGCTATGGAAAAAGCTTTTTATCCACCAACATTTATCAATTATTGCAGGTAACCCTGCAAAAAGGGAAAAAGCCCACAGCATTAGACTCCGCCTGAACAACAAACAGGCAAAACCAGAAAACTGTTTGAAAGAAGGGAACAATACCATGAAATGCTTTGTCCTGGTCTGTAGTGTTCACAGCATCCGAACAGCAGGAGGAGCTGGAACAAACACTGGATTCCGAGTTTTTTCTTGCTGTTCATGGAGAACAGAGACATATATAATGAAACCAATGCTTCGAATGACTACACTATTTGTATGCCAAGACCTGCTGCTATCTTGGATAAAGTAGCCTAAAAGGTAAGTTTACTTAGCTACAAAGTATAACGTCTATGTTTTATACACCATTCTACTACAGCTGTTCATCTAAAAACTATTATAAAAGTTGATCTCTCCGTCTATCTACTCTTAAAAGCACACTGAGACCCATTTGCGTAACTTTCACCAAAATCAGTGACAAATCTTATGATCACGTACACCTTGCAATCAAAACAGAGGAGTATATTCTTGAATATTCAAGTGCAAAACAACCTAAATGTTACGCTTTCCACTGCGATACAACTAAGTATGATACTCTCACCACAGTGTCCACTCTGTATAAAGGGATCCTAATACACCAGACACAGTCTCAGAGCAGTGGCTATTTCACATATTTAGAAACAAAAATGTGAGTTGATTTTGTGTCCTTCCTAAGCCCGCAAAGTAAATATGAAATGCAGTCAGAAGCCAGTAATCACTGGGCTAACACTTTCCCTATGTCATGTTTTGCAATTAAAAAAAAAAAAAAAATATCTGTATGCCTAATGAACAATTCTAAATAAGAAAACAAAAGGTAGATGAACAACCAGAAGCAGATGCTCATTAAAACTGAAGTTTCTTGACATAATGAAATACAATGAATTATAAAATAACAAAAAACTCCCCAAGCAATTAAAAGCTACCAGGCAAAGACGGCCTTTTGCCTGCAGCTCATCCAGACACCACCTGAAACACGTTCTGACTCTTCCCGAGTGGCGACAACCCGGACATCTCCCCAGGAGGGTCTCGGGGGGCTCAGTCTCCCTCCTCCAGCAGAGCCCCCCC